ACTAAGTCCTTAAAATTATTCTATAGATCTATATTAAACGATTCAAGAACAATGACTTCTTATTCTTTAAAACTTATGGTCATTGCGATAAACAAAAATGGGGTTTGATATATTCCTCGATGTTTGCCATCGAAAACTATTGTAAATTACTACCGGTATGTGGTTTTCGAGAAAAGATTAGCAATATTGTGTACGTACTTATTTAGTGATGATTATCTTATCAAGTCAGAGATCCGTTTGTCTTCTCTTTTGTTGTTGTTGTTTGGGGGGAGTGAGTTTTCTAACCTGTGTCGACTACCCTCTCCAAAAAAATTGATAATAAATGAAAAAATCCATTTTTTTGTTTTTGTCATGTGAAACCCCTCCCCAAATAATCCTAGATAAAACATAATGTAGCAGGTGCACAGCTTTGTGTCTTATAAGTCTTATAGATGAAGTTTGAGGAATTCCGTAAATTCATTTACAAGAAGTTGCGGCAATCTGTATTCATAAGTCAAGTTAGAGGGTCTAGTTGACAGAGGCCCAGAGCGTGTTTGGCGAAAAATTAGGACAAAATGTAATAAGCAAAATAAAAACATACATAAAAAAACCAGCTTAGTACAAATTATTTTTCTTAAAATGAAAATCAATATCCTTATTTAACGGACAGGCGATTGCAAAAATAACATTTGTTTTTTAATTGCGTACTGGACATGAACTACATGTATACTGCATTGGCCTTTTCATTCCTGCTTCCTTATCAGTTTCTATCACACAGCCGTATAAAAACAACAAAGCTACAGCTTCTTTTTATTTGGGCAAATTTTCAAAAAGACAAGCTAGAAATAAGGTTTGAGTTTTTTGCCCGTGCATGGTATTTATAATTTGATCAAAAATATCATGAATATGATAGCCAATGACCAAACAACGAAACAACACCAATATTAAAAAAAAAAAAACCAGCACCTTAGAATGGAACATCCAATGGGTGACTTAGCATGTTGTCTTTCGGGAGAGAGGAGATAAAAAAAAATGATTCCTTTAACAAGAATATTTCACCCCACATTGAACAGTAGTTACATTAAGTAAACAATCAATGTCAGTTTCTAATTCTTATACAACAAAAATAATATAAAACAATACACCTTTATTAAACAATTATCTGATATTTAATGCCAAACAAGCATTTGGGTTTACGATTTCATTTCTTTTTTTAAAGAAAGCAACTTGTTGTTTAATGTTATGCACATCGTACAACCAACCCTTATCATTTTCATCGAAATACGAGGAAGATAAGCATGCACATCTGCTATCACTGATAAAAAAGGAACGAATGTTGGCATTTGTTGGGAAGTTTCATATCTTCACTACCTGTATGAAATAGATTTAATAGATATTGTGCAGTTTAATGAATATTATCGTAATAAATCAACATACTAGGCAATGTTATGAATACATTTTCACATGTTTTAAATGTTAAATTCGGGTAAGGAACAAAGTTTTTTATGACGAGTTCCTTGCAAACTTTCATATTAATCTGTTCGAACTTCCATTTACATTATGAGAACCTTGATATTGTATCAATTTATGTTTCAAATGGTGACTAAGATTAGGTGATGTGTCTTCATGTAAATGATTTTTAAGGGTATTAACAGCAGGATATAACGGACGAAAAGAAAGAAAAGTAGGGACTAATTTAAAATATAACAGAGCATATTTGTAATCATCACATGCATGTTAGTGAGATATTAGTGAGATTTTAAGGGGCATGTACAATGTAATTTTCGTGTCTGGTGTAGAAATTGTTTAAAATATTTTAAATTTGTTTGGTTTTGTCATTTGTACGTTGTGTTATTTTGTGTAGCCTTTATTGAATCTCATCTGAAGTTTCTCCTGTGGAATCTCATTTTCATCGCTTATCTTTTGTTTTGAATACGAACATATGTATGACTTCTGTTCACACTCACAATCTCAGTTATTTTATCGTCTTTCTAATTTTTTATATCGTAAATTCACGTGCTGGCACATTAATCCCTTACACATGATCAGGTAAGGCCTTTGCAATCTCACTATCAATTTAGTTCAACCAGGCCTTTAAGCTTATGTACCGGTAAGGATGTTTTCCTATATCTATAATGGTCCTTCCGTATCTTGCTCAAACGTATACTCGTACTGATAAAAATTCTACATGCCAAGTAAAAACATGTCATTAAAAAAGCTATTGAGATTGTCATCAAAATACCTTTCATATGTATTTAATATACAAAATGAAAAAAGCTATTGGGATTGTCATCAAAATACCTTTTATATGAATTTAGTATACAAAATCTACTATTTCCTTAAAACATATTAAAAATTTGTATTTTGAAAACTATAGATACTGCCTGTATAACTTTGATTTTCCAAAATGCGCAACTTTTGATATAATGGACATTTTGAAATACCTTGTTGTTAAGTTCTTAAAAAAACACCTGCAATTATTTAATGATAACTTTTTTCATGACACGAAGTTATAATTTCTATATGCTTTATTTTCCGAACAAAAATAGTTTATGACATCATCTGCCATTTATACAGAAGCCGTTATGTATTCATCACATTCGCATAAAACTGTATTCATTACCCCTTTCAAAACTTCATTCTCTGTTCAATTTATGTTTGGAAATCACTGTTACAAACCCTCATTCAAACCAATACAAACTTACAGCTATCATGTCGGATATTGCAAGTCACAGACTTTTCAAACCAGTTCGCCTTGGAAAAGATGAAAAAGAGAAAAGATCTTTTCTTAAACTTTCCTTTGCAAAACACAGGTCTCGATGGCGTCAACTTAGGCAATTTCCTTCATCATAAATTAGTTCAGTCGAATTTACCTCCTTATTTTAAAGATCAGTCTGTACCAAATGTCTTATACCTATACCAAACGAATTGCAACTAAAATTTTCAATTACAAACACGTTTTGCAGGATCTCAACATTGACGACTTCAAGTCTAAACCTCCTGATTGCACCTGTGCTAGTTCCCAATTCACAAATAATCCGGCTGGCCACGTTATTACCGGATACCTCAACATTGTCAATAACACTTCCCTGCGAAATTTGTTATCCAGAGGTCCGAAATATCGTGAGCCTAAATCCTTCAATTGGAAATACAACTTCAAAATACTGATGGATTCAGTCGATGATTATGCCAGGCAATGGGCTAAACGCGAGAAAGAAGACGTAGATACTCTTTCCGAATGGATTAAGGCTGTGAGGTCGTTGATACAAATCCGAATTGAAACTAAATGGGCCTATCAATACCCACGCTACGTCAATTTTTAAAGACCGAAATGTTGCAAAACACTTGTCCTACCTCCATGACAAATATGGTGTTGTCCCCGCAGATAAAGCCTCAAACAACATCGTTTTTGTGTGAAAATATCATTACATAAACTGCTTGATAAATGCATTAGGTATTGACAATTCACTTGGAAACTTAACATATACCCTCACGACACTTACCAAAGAGGAAATCCTGGATAATCATAGGTCTTTTCTATGTTCCTTTGGAATTTCAACCAAAGATGAAGAACTGGATTTTCTATCACTGTATTGGATACCTAAACTACATAAGTGTCCTTACAAATGCTGGGTCTTCCAAGTGCTCCACGAAACCTCTTTCTAAATTATTAACATTTATTTTATCAGCAATCAAAGCCGGGCTCCAAAGTTATTGTGAAAATGCCTATTCTAGAGGTGGCATGAATCAGATGTGGATACTAAAAAATTCCAAAGATCTTTTAGAGTACATACAATCTAAGACTCTCATCTTGCAATGATATTAAAACATTTGACTTTTCTACACTTTACACAAGTTTTCCCCATTCAAAACTAAAAGACAAATTGAAAGAGTTGGTATTACTTTGTTTCAATAAAAAGAATGGCGAACGTAGATACAAGAATCTTGTCTTGGGGAGGGATAAATCTTACTTTGTAAAGAATCACTCTGAAAAAAATTCTCTGAAACTGACATTATCAAGATGCTTGATTTCTTGATTGACAACATATTTGTTACGTTTGGAGGACGTGTTTTTCAACAGACTGTCGGAATTCCAATGGGAACCAATTGTGCCCCTCTTCTTGCCGACTTGTTTCTTTATTATTATGGGGCTGACTTCATACAAGAACTTCTTAGGAAGAAAGATAAGAAGTTAGCAATATCCTTTAACTTTACGTTCCGCTATATAGATGATGTTCTCTCACTAAATAATACAAAATTTGGTGACTATGTTGAACGAATCTATCCCATCGAATAAGAGATAAAGGATACTACAGATACAGTTAAGTCAGCCTCATATCTTGACTTTCATCTAGAAATTAACAATGAGGGTCGATTGAAAACAAAACTTCACGACAAAAGAGATGATTTCATCTTCCCAATTGTGAACTTTCCATTTCTATGTAGCAACATTCCAGCAGCGCCTACATACGGAGTATATATCTCCCAATTGATACGATTTTCCAGGGCTTGTGTTTCCTATAATGATTTCCTTGATAGAGGATTGCTGCTCACAAGGAAGCTATTAAACCAAGAGTTCCAAATGGTGAGGTTGAAATCATCCCTTCGTAAATTTTACGGACGCCATCACGAGTTGCTTGACCGTTATGGAATAACCGTTTCACAGATGATATCATATATGTTCCGTATGTCGTTACTACAATACCCTTCCCTTTTCACGAATGTTACTTACCGAATTATACTATCTACCGGATTTGTAATAACGTAAGCAACACGATGGGTGCCACATGTGGAGCAGGATCTGCTTACCCTTCCGGAGCACCTGAGATCACCCCCAGTTTTTAGTGGGGTTCGTGTTGCTTAGTCTTTATTTTTCTATGTTGTGTCATCTGTACTATTATTTGTCTGTTTGTCTTTTTATTTTTGGCCATGGCGTTGTCAGTTTGTTTTCGATCTATGAGTTTGACTGTCCCTCTGGTATCTTTTGTCCCTCTTTTAAAAGAGAAATGATACAACATAACTAATTCACAAAATTTATTTAGAATAACAGTCAATTTGCAGCACTTGATTATACAAAATACATTAATGTTACATTAGAAATTACCATACATTAATTCCTTTATAAATAACTGAGTTTAGTTTGTTTGCAACCTTTTCCTTATGTTTAAGTTTAGCATTTCTGTATGATTGTTTACACTTTTTACGTAATTGTGTTTCTAACGACTCGTATGAAGACGTTTAAACTTTCAGAGAATTACCATCATGTCGGTACTGACATAAGTTATAGTATAATTTTCTAAAAATTCCCCGTCGTAATAAAATCAAGAAATTATTAAGAATGGAGATTCCAAATCATTTTAGAAAAATAGAAAAATCATTATGTTGTATTCGAATTGATGCCCTTGAAACTTAATCATTTTTATCTTTTACATAAATCAGATCCAACACTAACCTCATTGGATCTTTCACTTTTCTAGCTGCATTAGCAAATGAATAAACATTATAAAGTGTATTTTTCAATCTCAATGGGGAATTGGTGTGATAGTCTAATTTTCTTGAGCTTGAGTTATATTATGATTTCCAGTTAGATAAACTTTGAATTCAGAAACACTTATTAGATTTCATAATATATTTACATCATTAAGAAAATCTAGTTTGTAAACTTCGATCTAGGCTTTGCCAGCATGCTATTGTTAGAAATGTAAAATATAATTGATTAGTCATTATAACAGTGATAATATAAGTGCTTATATAAGTAATCAGTTTGGTTGCATATTTTACCAATAACTTCATAATTTATTCCCTGTTCTTCTTGATCGAAAAAATTTAGATAAACGTTCATATATTATCATACAGTTCTATTAAAGAATAATTAAAAATGTAAAGTATGTACAAGTTGATTCAAGAACCAACAACGTAGAGCCAATCAGTCTTGGAGAAAGATACCACCATGTGGAATTCTGTGCACAAGTTATTCATCATTTTTGTATAAGAAAATCAACATTTTATAGTACATTACAAGATTTTGTGAGGTAAACAAATCCCACCTAAAATTATCAATATGACTTTTAATTTACAAGTACAGGAAGATCGAGCATACTTTGATTTCATCAACTCATTGCTTTCATTGAGGTTAAATTGGAATGATAATAGCCTGAAAATACCCCTTTCTGTTCAGATACACAAGCTAGACGTGCGTAAAATATATTTCAATTTATGTCTTTAAAAGAATAACATTTTCAAAGAATAAAAACGGACGATCTGTAAAGTTTCTCTAATTTTGGAAGATTGCACTTTTTGATATTATAAAACTCCACTGTACTACGAAATTTTTGTTAAAAAGTAAGAACCTTTCATACCTAGCCTTATGATAACAAAAACACGAACTCTTCCAGTGTCCAGTTTGATAGCCAATTAAATTATTGTACACATGTATTTAAAAAGAAATGCAAAGTAGCCTGTTTGCAGATATATGGAATATATTTCTATTTTAAAGACATTCAGACTAGGAACTTAAAAAAAGTAAAATTATGTCTTATTAAAAGTTTGAAGGTCTGGATGGGGTTTCTGAATTTCTGTATTCTTTAATGTGTTATGCTATTTTTCTCTATTCTTCATTTATGATGCCCATTATTCTCTAGACTGTAATCCTCATGTTAAAGAACATTGCTTTTATAATATTTGTAAAGAAATATCTAATGGGTAATTTGTAGTACAACAGACTATTATTGTTAATCCACAAACAAGAGTAATTTTACAATTTCCGTTAAAGAATGTTAAACTTCAGATTTAGAGGTGGCATACATGTACCTGTTAAAGAATAATTAATTGTTACGTAATAAAATTTCGCGTTCTGACATAATACACACAGGACAAATTTGAATAGGTAAACAGATAAATGTGAAGCAATAATACATTCATCCCATCAAATTGCGTAAAATTCAATAACATTGACCAGTTCATATCGAAATAAGAGTTAGGGATGAATTGGGTAGGGAGAAAGGGTAAAAATGAAAAACATTTTAATACAACTTCTTGTAAGTACTACAAAACTCTTATCACCTAAACGTTTTTGGTTAGAAGTATAAAAACCTATATGTCTGTATTGGCATAGTTTTCCGAGTTTCATTTGCGTATTTAAAGCAATAAGCAATAGAAAGTTTAATCTTCAAAATTCAACAAAATTATTCACTTAATACAAAATATTCTTCATTTTAAAGCGTTTGTAAACACATTATACACGGATACATATCAAGATCATTTCTTAAAATACTGCGAACATTATCATGCTGATTAATTCAGTGGTATTGTCAAAAATGGGTTGAAGTGAACCACGGTATAACAAACATTGAAATGCGTCACAAAATCCGATCACACACTATAGCCTTGTATCAACTGCAAATAAGTAAATTATTTACAATCATACAGTGAAACTTCTTTTTACAGACCACGTAAGGGAGAGCATATTAGTGGCATCAGAGGCACTTAAAATCAATGGCCTTATAACACAGGAATTAAGATAACAATTACAAGATTTCATGCGTCAAAAAAGCTTTTCTGGATGAAAAAAATTAAAGAACACTGCCTTAATGTTTTTGTGTTTTTATGGACAATAATGACTATAATATAATTGACATTGAAGACTATTAAGCTATAAAACTTCTGCAGGAACATCACATCAACAGGGGTTATTTATTTGATATGCTTATTATACTAGAATGCTGCTACATAATCATGGATCGTCCTTTATCAAAATTAAAGTAATTTCTTTAGAAGTGAAATCTAAGATAATTAGCGTCATTTAATACAACCCATTCAGTCATAAGTACTTTACTTGTCCGATGAAAACAATTCACAGGTTAACACTTTTTGTAAGGCACAAAATTTGCAATACCATACATAGAGCTCAAATTTGATAGTTTTCAACCAACCTTTACATACTTGTTGATCATTATATTCCTCTTTATCTTTACTTGCTTTCGTTCCAGTAGAAAGTTTAAATTCATTGTACAATACATGCAGTTTGAGTAATTGTTTTTCATGAGATATTTTTTTTGCTTATAATACATTTTTTTTATTTATAACATGTTTAGATATTTATAACACACTATTAAGTACAATAAAAAAAGTAATTTCAAAAGACTATGAATAAATAAATATGTTTATCAAAATCAATAAACCAAAGATTTCCGTAATGTGCATTCGAACGTGTATTTCTTGGAAGTATAGTGAGGTATACATTGATTTTAAATCTTAAAGTAAATCAGGTAAGCACCAAGATGTTCTTCAGAAAAACTGAAAAGAAGAATAAAGTTTAAATTAGAAAACGGAAGAATACGGACAAAAACGATACGATAAAATAAATGCACGTCTTATAAAGTCGAAGGACTTAAAATTGCTAATATACAACATCTGATGTAAACAATAACTGAATACCCGAAGCTTACTAGCCTACCTTAAGAATTCTTGAATGTATACGTACGTTTAAAATCTTAGGTGAGCACTGCATTTCCATTGGTGTGGTAATGAGTGCTTCGAAATTAGACTAGTTTTGTACCATACCAACACGGTGTGCGATTATGCTGGGTTTATTTTTTTGTTACAGAGAGTGTACGTTTTGTGTTTTAAAAAATTATTTATATCTTATAGATATCGTTTTTATTTCACATTTAGTTGCAAAAAAGCAGGCTATATAAAAAAAAAAAGATGTGGTATAAATGCCAATGAGACGACTTTACACCAGAAACCAAAATGACGTGTAAGTTCACTATAGGTCAGCAAACGGCCTCCAACAATGAGCAGAATCAATACTGCATAGTAAATGCCCCGAAATGACAAGTGTAAAACAATTCAAACGAGAAAATTACTAGCCTGATTTATGTAAAAACAAATAATCTAAAAACAGATATGACATACAGCAACAAGTCCATTTAGTCAGTGTGTTCAACTCAGCGTCTTTTTATCATTCTTTTTGAAAAAAAACAATTTTACTTTAATTAGAAGTTCACCGACGACGATACCAACAAAATACTATTTGTGGATTAATTTTTCAACAAATAGATGTCATTGCAATTAGGTACTATCAATACGTATTACTACTGATTGTCGTGTCTTGCATTTTAATAAAGACGAATTCATACACAACCTTATCTACAACATGATCATGTAAGACACAAGACAACGGCATCTTTCAATTGTTTTTAGTACTTGTCAGATATATTGATGATGTCATTCCGCTCAATTCCCCTTTAAACCAAGTGCTTGCATTTATTTTATTTTGTAATTATCAAATACCCATGCAACCACGCATCCGTTAATGCGTCATAGGACCCGACACTATTTTAGTGTTTCGGCAGTTAAAACTTGGGATGGTCATCTTAGGATGTTTTTTTTTTTAATATAATCACATATACAAATTATTCATGTATATATTGACATATTTATATTTTAATGCTTCATCAATAGATTTAGATATTATACCAGATCTGCCATCATCAGGGGTCCAACTGTCAATTTTATGTTAAAGTATTTTTCTTTGAAGCATATATCCTACACTTTAATAATGACTATACGCAACTAATGGTTTAACATTAAATACTTATACATATTCTTCGTCAAACTGCAATGAATGCCAGTGTTTCATGGTGCGTTTTTATTTTTTTTTATTTTACGTAAATATGGATTTTACTAAATTATTAAAACTAACGGAATATTTTCTTTTTCCTTCGATTTTATTTGCTTTAATTATAAAGTACGGTCAATTGATAAGGCATCAGTAATACTATCATCTATTTCGACGTTATCATAACCCTTATCTAATAATTTCACTTTGAAAGTTGTTATATTGCTTATTAATATGGTCACTTGTGTTTCTTATCTGCCATATTGCTTCACCTTTGATAAATCCTCGCAGTACATAATGTGAGTGACAGCTATTTCGATGCAGATATAGAAAAGAATTTGTTTCTTCAAAATATTTTTCAAGGTCCATTATGCCATGTGTTGTAAATCTTTGACCTTTAATTACACCAACATCTAAGAACGACATTTTATCGTTTGAGATTTCATAGGTGAGCTTCAATAAAGGGTTATCATCATTTGCTAGACGAAAAAAAATCTTTAATTTCATCTGATTTTCCATTGTATATTCTGAATCCATCGTCCTTATATCTGCCATGATAGAATATTTTGTTTATATGTTGAAATGCAGAAACTATTTGATTCATTATTTCAAACATAAATATGTAACAGATTTCCGATGAAGGGACTACACCCTTTGCCGTATCTATTATTTGTTTATAAATTTTCCCATCAAATTCAAATACATTGTGTTCTAAAATGAGTTTCAAACAGATGTACTAGACATTAATTGGCGGAGCATCGACTTTGAAATTTAAATTGTAAAAATTGTCATATTCTCGTTGAACTGCATTTAATAGAGCACCTTAAGGAAGATCAGTAAACATGTGTGTTATATCATACGAAACCAAAAGGCCTTTTGCCGTAGATTTTCATTTCTCAATGATATTAATGAAAGATTTAGTATATTTTATATATATGTAGACTGTTTATTAACTATCGGTTTAAAAGAATAACCTACTAAATGGCTGATAATTTCAGTTACGGATCCACACTGTGATACAATTGGTCTGCCAGGTGGAATTACATTTAATTCATTTAATCTAGCATGTTGTATATGTTTGAACGTCTCCGGTTAAAAACGGGGAATTTTTGGTTAGATATAACTTCTCCCTAAACATGTTTCTCTTAATTTTTGACCATTTGTTAACACTTTAAATGAATTTTTGTCGATGATGCCTTGGTTGTATAATAACATACTCAATGACCTGGGTTTTTAATTCTGCTATTTTAAATGAATCTAATTGGCGGTAATGTTGAGTATTCAGTTGTCTAAAATAACACATTATTGTAGTAAATAAACTATTTTTGACGTTTCGACCACTGTCCTTCTTCAGTTTCTTTATTATCCTGTTTCCCTACATGGTAGACATTTTACTTTCACAATCATTAAAATGTTATAGATTTACTTCCTTGGTGCTGTTATGACGTCATAATATTGTTTTATGAATGAAGGTCAAAGTATATGAATTAGATTAATGAAAGTTATTCTTTTTTAATGTTGATGCCAGATAGCCTAATTGTATTTAGTCTTTGCATCCACCGTGCTTTTATATATCTTCTGTAATTGGCAGATTTTTCGTAAATTTGTTGAAGAACTTGAACTGTCATGTCCCCTTTACAATGGTCCTTCTGATTAAAGTGTCTTTTCCCTGTTATATCTGACATCTGATATGTGCTCTTTTTTTCTTTCATTGAGGGATCTTTCAGTTTCTCCTTCATAGACATAATGATCCAATTGTCCATAGTGTAGTCCATAAACAAGGTTCACAAGTTTGTATCCATGAATATTGTCTTTAAGAACTAAAGTTAAAGACTTTAACATAAAATTTGCCTTTTTAATTACAATTGTATTATCATTTTTTAAATTGCGTAGTGCTATTCGTTCGCCCTAGTAAGATTGTTTTTTTCACATTTTTTTCAATTGATAGAAAAGTTAATTCAAGATTCGTTAAATTGATATAATTTTCCAACATATGGCACGTAGAAAATATTCCGTTAGTTTTGATAACTTCATATAACCCATATTTACGTTTAATAAAAATAACACGTATCATGAAACAATGCCATTTATTGCAGTTGGACAAAGAATGTGTACAATCTATTCAATGTTAAACCTTTAGTTGCGTATAGCAACCATAAAAGTGTAGGATATATGGTTACATGATCAAAGTTAAAGACTTTAACATAAAGTTGACAGTTGAACCCCTGATGATGGCCAATCTGTCATAATAACTACAGTCATGTTCGGTAATTCCGCCCGTCCGGTAACTCCGCCCGTCCGATAACTCCGCCCTTTACTTCCGTGTGCGTCCCTCCCGAAAAACTTTGAAGAAAACCATTTGCCTACGACAGGTCAGGTTCAAAGGGAGATAATTCAATTTTAAAACTATGGAAAGCCAAAAAACAAAATTTAAAACTCCTTCAAGATCCGGTATCTTTAAGAAATATGTATGTGAAAGTTTGAAACAAGCTTTCTGTTTTTTGGTGGTTTTTTATACGATTCTAAAGAATAAAAATAAAATATATTGACTCTGAAATAGAGTTTTGGGTTATATATTTTAATCACTATATACTGCAAAGACTTTAAACCCATTGACAAGGATGACGGTGTCTGTAGTGATCTTTTATATTTCGATGGACGTAATCAATCAATAACTGGTAAATTGTAAAAAGTAAGGAATATTGTAAAAACGAATTGATTCTAACCTTTACTTAATTCCTGCAGAGATAGGAAGATTATTTATAAGTTTTGATATGACTGTAGAACCTTCTGACTAACGGAATATTACATCCTAATCTTCACAATGATGTTATTTATAGATCCCATACACTTAGATACGATCAACATAAACTTATTGATCCTTTGAATATTTTATTCTTAAAGGTTATATATTTAGCTGTAGTTAGATCTTTAAATATTGTGTTTATCGGTACGAAATTGATTTTGTTTTAAATAGACTAAAACCTTACTAGATACATATTGCTATACAGTTTTATTATTTTGCATTGCAGAAGGTGATTTTTCACATATAGTTTATGAAGTATCAACACTCTGCCAGTTAGATAGTACTGGTTATATTTCAAATGAGAAAACATAATTTATTTTTTAGTTGTTATTGTCTTGCAATGAGCTTTTAGTAATGCGACTTCGTTAAGGTGCGTTTGAGTCTAGAAATCAGTGGTTTTCGTTGTTAGATTTTATCTGTTATACAACCACTGGTAAACGAATTTTAGTTTGAAACGGTAATTTTGATCTTAATATCATCTGCAAAGTCCTATAAACTGTTAAGTAATGATCAGTAAATCAGGAAATTTTCAGATTTATCGACTGCGGTAAATTCAGTACTTTTTAGACAATTTGCCCGATCGTCGATTCGTCATATTCGTTACGGAATAATAATAAAACATAACGAGAGGAAGATCTGTGTTGATTTGTTAGATTACTTCATATAAAGCCAATGTCAACGGTCCAAAAATAGACCAGAAAGAGTGCATGCAAGGAATGTCCCTTTAATAACTCAATAACCTCATATGGGATTGGTGTCAAAACTTACATATATGAACTCTTATGATTAAGAGATCTTAGTTGATTTTGATATCAATGTTTTTAGGTCAATGTCTATTTTAGAACCAACAGGCTGACATTATTGCAGAAAAGCTGTTTCCGAATTATGACCTCAGCAAATAAGTACAAATACATGGTTTTGATTGTTTTGAACTGTTTGATATTGATTTGACTTATAAACTCGATCCCTTTACGGCACTGCGTTTTTAGCTAAAATATTGTGAACTTGCTGAACAATGTTATTTAACATGTTTGATAAATCATCTTTTGAAATATATCGATAGCTTACAAAATAAACGTTTACTGTTGTTACTTGCTTATTTTAGACAACGACGATAGCCGAGGCCAGTTAGATGCATACGACTATTTAAGATACATTTTCTTTCCAAACTACTCCAGCAACGCTACAATTAAGACCACAAAAACACTTGCATCACCATCAAGATATTTGTTCGTTTCAGTGTTTCAGTGTTTCGGTGTTTCAGCGTTTCTTTCTTTTTTTAAAGACTATGTAACTCTTATAATGATTCTGTATGTCTACTATTGTCCAACTGTCATTCCTACAGAAATCACTGTGTTCCTTGCTTCACTACCCTTTAGATTCTAGAACTGGTGTTTCAAGCATTACATGAGATGCATGCCTTGTCAAGACAACCGATTTCCTTCTATTCAAACTTCATACGATTCGGATTGTTTTTAATTGATGACTGTCTGTTACTATAAGAAATATAAATCAGATTCATACTTAATATCGAAGTCACACGTCCAATAAAATCAAATAAAGCCGGATAAACAAATCGATAGCAATTTAATCTCTGGTTATAAACTGCATCTTGTAATTAAAAGCATGTTTTTGCCAATTATTGTTCTTTACTTACGGGTATCCTTGACGACGTAGACTGTTCTGAACGGATGTAATCAATATTGGTTGTTTGTCTTTACTGTGTTTTCCTTTTCCCGTGACTATTGTTAAATCCAAAGGTACTGCTTGTAATGGCCTTTCAGATTTTATTTCTATTAATACAAGTTACAAAAACGATTTTAAATTCTACAAGTAACTTTGAAAAAAGTCAGATTGATTAATTGATTGGTTGTGTTAAACGCAACTTTCAGCACATTTGGCTATTTAAAGGCTTAAAGGCTAACATTCTTTTTTGGTAGAGAATGCAAGAGAAACAGAAGAGAACGAACGATATGTATGTTACTAGCATATGGATTCTACTTAACTTTTCTTTATATATATATATATATATATATATATAAACGCCTGGAAAGTGTACAAATGAACACCAATAATAAAAAAGGAGACATTAAATGTAATTATCTATAAATATTTCGGATAACAGATATCCTTCATCAGTATGCTTTTGATGTTTAATGAATCATATCAGTCTATTCTGATTTAACTATAACAATCTTGAATTTTCTACATAAAAACGGAACACAAAAACGCTTGTACATTTCTAAAATTTCAAAAATGACGTAGATTATATAGGTATTTACAACAGAGACTGCTTGGAAATACATTCCAAATGAAAAGCACTGACCGATCTTAGCTGGTACAATATTTCAAATTTGACAACAGTAAAGTAATTACAACAGAGACTGCGTATTAAGACAGCCCAAAAAATTACCAGTTACATAAAGATTAACGAAAAAAAATAATAATAATAATTTTGACAAAGATTAAGTAATTGAACGTGGCTGCGTACTCAAACATCCCAAATGAATAGAACCCTGCGATTTAAACTGGTGTAATTCATTAATTTTAGAGATGACAAAGGTGAAGGAAAAGCAAAAGAGACTGTGTAATAATATTTAGTATAACCCAAATGAAAAACACTGCGCTAATTAGAACTATACCTTTTCATTTATCCTTTTTGGTGCCACAGTTTTTAATTTTCTTATCCAAAATCTTTCCCGAATGAATCTATCCTCCCTAAACCAAGCAGTGTTGTGGTCTATGATGGTAATGGTTAGTCGATTGAGATCTGCCTGAGTGTCTCCAGGGAATCGCAAATGTCGACTGAGAGGAAGGTATGGCTTGCATTCATAGTCGCTACGATGGCCATTCATTCGTTTGTGAAATGACTGTTCTGACTCACGAACATACTGTTTACCACATTTACACTGAAGAAGATACACAGCATTTGTAGTCGTGCAATTAACATTGCAGAATATGGTGTATTCCGTACCAGTGGAGTGACTATTAAAAGTCTGGGTATTCAGTATTTGTTTGCAAGTAAGACTTCGTTTGTTCCCGCATCCCTTGCAAGAGCACAAAGACGAAGAGCCTGCTTTAGAGGATCAATCAGCTCTCACCACTAGAAAGTCTTTAAGGCTTTTTGGTCTACGGAAAACCAGAACAGGTGGCTCGGGAAAGATCTTGGATGTTTTTCGATTTCTTTCCAATTTCCTCGGATTAGGTGTGATAACTTGTCAAATTTGGGATGGTAAGTCAGCACATACGGAACTCTTTTTTTGATCTTTCGGTCTTTTTATTGTAAAAACTCATCACGGCTGATGTTGTTAGCACGAGAGAAACCTTTATCATTTTTTTTCTTTTGTAGCCCCGATTGTTTAGGTGACCGCGAAGTGTTGTAGTCGTCGTTTTGCAGTTTCATTGGTGGAACAAATCCGTTGTTTTCGTATGGCCTGGCTGTAGGGAATGCTCTTGGTGCAATGTTTAGGATGACAACTCAAAGGAGAAAGATATTGATGTTTGTCTCTGGGATTGCAGTACAGATCTTAAAATATGATTCCATCCTTCACTTGCGCAGAAGTGTCAAGAAATGTGATCTTAGAGTCAGAGATTTCATAAGTGAATTTTATTGAGGGATGAGCATCGTTGGCATGTTGAAAGAACAAATTTAGTTCTTGTTCAGTATTTTCCCACTTCATGTTAATATCGTCGATGAATCGAAACCAAGAGAGAGGTTCATAAAGAGAAGAATTGAGAATTCGCTGTCCCCATAAAAATGTTGGCATAAGATGGGGCCCACTGCTGTTCCATTAACTTGGAGAAAGTGTTCACCATTGAATGTGAAGGTATTACATTCCAATACCAAAGTTAGAAGCTGGACTAGACATTCAGCTGGTGGATTTAAGGTGTTGAGGGAGTTCCAGACTTCCCTACAGGCTTCAATACCATCGTCATGGGGGATGTTAGTATAGAGAGAGCTAACATCAAGCGAGACAAGGATCGTTTCAGGTGGGAGTGGATTCAAGGATTCCATTTCCTTAAGATAGTGTGTTGTGTCCTGTATATAGGATGGTAAATTTTCTACATGTGGTCTTAAATGAAAGTCAATAAATTTTGATATTTTCTCTGTAGGGTGGTCTTTGGCAGGACAATGCATTATGATTCAAGTATTTCTTGATTCTTTTTAATAAAGCTAATGAAGAATTAACTTTTTTTTTATTATATGATTAATTTGATCATACCAAGAAAGAGTGGCGTCAACAAAAATACCAAGATCTTTTTCACAGTGACTTTCATTAATATGTTGGCATGAAGTGGGAAAATACTGAACAAGAACTAAATTTGTTCATTCAACATGCCAACATTGATAATCCTTCAATACAATTCACTTATGAAATCTCTGACTCTAAGATCACATTTCATTACACTTCTACGCAAGTGAAGGATGGAATCATATTTAGAGATCTGTATTGCAAGCCCACAGACGAACATCAATATCTTTCTCCTTTGAGTTGTCATCCTAAACATTGCACCAAGAGCATTCCCTACAGCCAGGCCATACGAATAAAACAGATTTGCTCCACCAATGAAACTGCAAAGCGACGACTACAAGAACTTCGCGGTCACCTAAAAAATCGAGGCTACAAAAGAAAAAAAATGATAAAGGTTTCTCTCGTGTTAACAACATCAGCCGTGATGAACTTTTACAATAAAAAGACCGAAAGATAAAAAAAAAGAGTGCCGTTTGTGCTGACTTACCATCCCAAATTTGACAAGTTATCAAAACTTAATCCGAGAAAATTGGAAAGAAATCGAAAAACATCCTAAACTATCCAAGATCTTTCCCGAGCCACCTGTTCTGGCTTTCCGTAGGCCCAAAAGCCTTAAAGACTTGCTAGTGGTGAAAGCTGATTTATCCTCTAAGGCAGGTTCTATCTCTTTGTGCTCTTGCAAGGGATGCGGACACAAACGATGTCTGACTTGCAAACAAATACTAAATACCCAGACGTTTAACAGTCACTCCACGGGTACGGAATACACCATATTTTGCAATGTTAATTGCAATACTACAAATGCTGTGTATCTTCTTCGGTGTAAATGTGGTAAACAGTATGTTGGTGAGTCAGAAAAAACATTTCACATACGAATGAACGGCCATCGTAGCGACTATGAATGCAAGCCAGATCGTAGCGACTATGAATGCAAGCAAGACCTTCATCTCAGTCGACATTTGCGATCCGCTGGCCACACTAGGGCAGATCTCAATTGACTAACCATTACCATCATAGACCACAACACTGCTTGGTTTAGGGAGGATAGACTCACTCAGGAAAGATTTTGGATAAGAAAATTAAAAACTTTGGCACCAAACGGGATAAATGAAAATGTATAGTTCTAACTAGCGCAGTGCTTTTCATTTAGGTTATACTACATATTACTACGCAGTCTCTGTTGCTTTTCCTTAATCTTTGTCATCTCTAAAATTATCATATTACACCAGTTTAAATCGCAGGGTTCTATTCATTTGGGATGTTTGAGTACGCAGCCACGTTCAATTACTTAACTTTTGACAAAATTATTATTATTATTTTTTTTGTTAATCATTATCTAACTGCTATTGGGATGTCTTAATACGCAGCCTCTGTTGTAATTACTTTACCGTTGTCAAATTTGAAATATATTACCAGCTAAGGTCGGTCAGTGCTGTTCATTTTGAATGTATTTCCATGCAGTCTTTGTTGCAACATCTTAAAACTGTCGTCACCTTTGAAATTTTAGAAATGTACCAGGTCATATCGCACATTACTATTTGTATTAGAAGCATATCTATGCAGTCTCTGTTGTAAATACCTATATAACCTACGTCATTTTTGAAATTTTAGAAATGTGCAAGCGTTTTTGTGTTCCGTTTTAATGTATAAAACTCAAGATTGTTATAGGTAAATCAGAATAGACTGATATGATTCATTTAACATCAAAATCATACTGATGAAGGATATCTGTTATCCGAAATATTTATAGATAATTATATTAAATGTCTCCATTTTTATTATTGGTGTTGTTTTGTACACTTTTTAGGCGTTTATATAATTTATTTATTGTGCACATGTATCGTTTCTTGTAACGATCTAGCGCCCTCGTAAAAAAGATCGTTGACTAATATTCAGATGTTTTATATATATATATAAAGACCAAAAGAGTGAAAAAGTATATTTTAACAAAACGCATTTGACTAACAGGTCGAACAACAAATGTTCTTAAACCCTGCTGACTGCCATTGGCGATTGCCAAATAAACGGATCACAGATGTAATAAATGGATCTTAATTAAATTTTTAATACTAAACAGAAAACAATTAACTTGCGGAAACGATGATATACCGCAAACAAAAGGTGCAAAGGTTTTTGTACACCATATCCGGATTTCGACAATTAATGTCTCTTCAGTGATGTTAGGAATCGAAAAGGTATTTGGAAAGCCATACAATTTACCTCAATTTTTGATAGACTCTTGAATTTTGAGGAGTCAAAATAAGATGAACGGATCATATAAACCCGAAAGCAAATATAATACAAGCCCAAACGAAAAAATATAAACAAGTCTAAATTGAAAACAACGTTCAAACCTATGATTGCGTTGGATAAAAACCGCAATTTTTATACGTGTGCATGCAAAACAAATTTCTTGTTAGAGGGGTCTTAAAGGGAAATCACACTATTTATACTACTAATATTAATTCATTGAAATTTTGCATGTAGACAGATCATACTTATTAAGATATTTTAGGTGAAAAAAAATTTGGGGTCACCGA